TTCGGACCATCATAGTTTAAAAAACAAGTATTAATATTTATATGATGAAAATAAACAATCTCGTTAAAAAATGCATTAAAAATTAATATTTAATATAAAGTATTAAAATAAAAATATTAATGTATATTTGTACATATTAGTTGCAATAAATACATGCATTTATAAAAATGACTGCAAACAAATCCTTTGAAAAGAAAAAGGTTTTAAAAAATGCACTAGAAAATGAATAATATTAAATTAAGAATATTATTAAAATTAAAATATTAAAGTATATATTAAGACCAAACCTCCCTGAACTTTCATCCCTGCGGCTAGTTGAATGAGACAGCATCAGTGTGTAACATGGCGACATGCCGACCGCTAGCAGTCATTATAGCGTGATGGAAACCTCTGTGTGTGACAAACACCTGCGCAGCTCATGTGCGAGATCTCCAAGCATAACCTTCAGTCGCTGACAGCCATTTCCACACAGAGGACAGCATGAGAACAGCATGTTCAGAGCGCCTGAAGGGTACGGACGCCGCGTTACGGCCCATTGCTAGAAAACTCATGCCGCTGCGGCTCTTGTGTGTATAAACGTCTCGTCACAGTCAGTGTGCAGCGCTAACCTGCAGCAGCAGTCATTTGAGTTCAGTTTAAAGGTGAAGTCGTGTTATACTTCAGTCCCAGATGAGCAGAGTCAACTAATAGTACAGCAGTTTAGGTGACTTCCTAGTGTCTATCTATCTATCTATCTATCTATCTGTCTGTCTGTCTATCTGTCTGTCCGTCCGTCCATCCGTCTGTCTGTCTGTCTGTCTGTCTATCTATCCGTCTGTCTGTCTGTCTGTCTATCCGTCTGTCTGTCTGTCTGTCTGTCTGTCTGTCTATCTATCCATCTATCTATCAGTCTATCTATCTGTCTGTCTGTCTGTCTATCTATCTGTCTGCCTGTCTGTCTATCTATCTATCCATCTGTCTATCTGTCTGTCTATCTATCCGTCTATCTGTCTGTCTGTCTATCTATCCGTCTGTCTGTCTATCTATCTATCTATCTGTCTGTCTGTCTGTCTGTCTGTCCGTCTGTCTGTCTATCCGTCTGTCTGTCTGTCTATCTGTCTGTCTATCTATCCGTCTGTCTATCTATCATAGCTGCGTTTAATCTACTAACCGCCTAGCAACACCCTAGCAACCATAAGAACACCCAAGTTGCTAAACTACAAACCTCTCTTAGTAGCCAAATATTCAACATACACAAGGCCTAACTAACCTTTGCCAAACCAAGTCTTAATGTATCTTTTTAGCACAGGATTGCACACTTAATAAATATTATAAACAAATGTGAACGTTTGACCAAAGTTTGAGACGTGGCATTGCTTCTTTGAGTTTCAGTTGCCTGTAATATGGAACCGACCCTCAACAGCGGCTTCTTCAGAAAACATCTTTCTCACTCATTAGCTCTACAAGCACATCACGATCAGATAAATGACACCAGGAGCGTCTGGCACTGCAAGTCCAACACTAATGTTCCCTGCCGCGGCGGTGCATTAGCGCCGAGCTGAGTGTCAGGCCCAGACAAGCCCGCTGAGTTCAACCTCCTTCAGCGCGACGCTCCGTTTCCCCGCTAGCGCTCGATAGTGTGCTCATGTTAACGGACGGATGCGCCTCTCGCTTCGAGTAAGATGTCACTGTCAGTTGCGGTGTGAAGTGTGCAATTTATGCCCCTCCGGCTGTCTGTAATCCCACCCCCTCTGAAACAAACGCAAATGAGAAGGAAACACACAATTTAAAGACAAATAAAGAGGAGGAGCTTTAATCCACAGCAGATGAAGATGACAGTGTCATGTACTTGTCATTCCAGTATTTAGACTTCAAAAAAGTATGTTATTCTTTGTAGATCGTATTGACTTTTTGCCACACGGCGGACGCGGCCTGAATGACTTAATTACGAATCAATAATAATGTATTATTTGAGAGAAAAAAGCACGAAAGGGCATTCTCTACCTCCATTCAGGTCTTCATTCCAGCTTAACGCAATCTACAGAACGGTAGTTTTCATGTACACGTGTATTATCTTTTATTTTCAGTGCATTTTGTCTTGAACCCCTGGCAGTGTAATTTCATCTAATTAAAGATAAGGTGCGTGATATATTTTTTCTTTCTCTTCGCAAAATGATAAGCTAGTGCCGCAGATAACCTGAGGAATGATTGTGTAGCACCCCAGCATGGCTTTGTGCAAAATAAATAAATAAGGGGATTTACAGTCTGGCCTTGAGGATGGAATGCAGAGAAATCAATCCTTTAATAATCACATTACAATCACTTACACTCTTTGAATAAAGACACAAAGAAAAAAAAAAGATTGTAGACAATATGCATTGTAATGTAACTTTCTTAATAGTAGGGTTGGGGGAAAAAACGACTTTAAAAATACTAGAAACTATACGAACTAATGATTTTCGGTTCTCTCACGTGCATTCTTGTAAATGTGAATAAGTCTGATTCCCGAGCAAAAGAATTGCATGATGATATGGTTCTTTTTAGTGGGATATACAGTGCGATCAGTGCTGTTTTAGTGAATCAAACATAGCCATGATAAGTGAACGTTGATCCCAAACTAATGATAATATGAGTCGAATCTTTTTAGTGAATCAAACATATACAGCGTGATTGGCGAACTCCGATCCCCGAACGAATCACTACACGAGTCAGTCCTTTTCAGCATTTGGCAACACAGCTACATTTCTGCTTTCCAATAGAGTTGTAAATGCAACCAGAATCGTTAAATTAGTCACAATTGCCATTCCTATTTAATAGTAAACATTTATTTAACCTGCACATTTCTATAATTCCTTCTTTTCAGGTTTGTCTCGCCATCAAGTCGTCATTTGATAGGCTTGTCATCAAAACAGACGTTTGTTAGGGAGAGGTGGAGATCTTGGGGAACAGACAGCTGTGATTAAACCACATTACGATTTTCATGGTTCACGATGCCGTGTAATTATAAATATGATCCATGTCCCTCGGTGGTAATTGATGCCTCTTGGCCGACTTCTGGCCCTCTAATGAGCTGCGGCTTTCTGGGTGTTGCAGCAGGTTTCCTCGCCGTTTCTAGCAGCTTTATGTCATTTAAAAAATAAACAAATATGAACATTGGGGCAACACAAAATGTGAGGAGATAACAGGCCCGGATGAGACGAATCACTGGAAACAGCGTGCGCTAGGCTAATGCTGCTGCAGCGTTTCTCTTAAAGCTCTGAATGTGATCATTTGTTGCATTTATAATGTAAAGATCAGTGGCAAACCCAAAAGCTTGACGCCTACGCGCTGGAACTCAGAAGCCATAAGTAACTCATAATCATAATCAACTGAGTGATATCCATCAAGGAGTCCATTCATTAATTTTCATAATATCGCGTGGCTGAGTCTGCCTGCGGGAGCGGCTAATTAGTTCTCTATCAGTATCTGAACACAAATGAACTATGCGACGTTTTTTTAAAGCGGCGGTGGAGTCGAGTCAGGGGCATTGAGCACTTTCGCCGGCACCTGTCGCTCTTTCCTGAGCTCCGCGGCGGATCGCGGTGACGTCAGTGCGTAGCGGCCCAGCAGCTGTGGAGTTTGGGATGTGGGGAGGGAGGGATGCTGTTGCTAAATTATCCGCAGGCATTTGGAGGGCTTCTGTGACACGGCCAGGATTATGGAAAATAAAAACTGAGCAATAATAACATCAATAAAAGGACACTTCTTTAATTTTCTGAATAAAAAAATGATTCTTGTATGTGCAAACATCACCGCTATGATGCTATGACATTCTGGGTGGTTGCCTGGGTGTTGCTCTACGGTTGCTAAAGAGTTTTGGAGGGGGTTTGCACATTGCTATATGGTTGCTAAGGTGTTCTAGGTGGTTGTTATATGGTTGCTAAAGTGTTCTGGGTGTTTGACTGTTTTTGCATGTTTCTATGTGGTTGCTAAGGTGTTCTGGGTGGTTGCTATGGTGTTCTGAGTGGCTGCCTGGTTGATAAGGTGTCCTGAATGGTTGCCATGCAGTTGTTTGGGTGGATGCTAAAGAGGATGGATGTTAAGGTGTTCTGAATGTGCTTTTGTATGTTGCTATGTGGTTGCTACGGTGTTTTGAGTGTTTTTGGATGTAGATATGTGGCTGCTAAGGTGCTCTTGAGTGTTTTTGGATATACATATGCGGTTGCTAAGGTGTTCTGAGTGTGTTTTTGGATGCTGCTATGCAGTTGCTAAGGTGTTCTGAGTATTTTTGTATGTACATGCGGTTGCTAAGGTGTTTAGAGTGTTTTTGGATGTACATATGCAGTTGCTAAGGTGTTCTGACTGTTTTTTTTATGCTGCTATGTGGTTGCTAAGGTGTTCTGGGTGTTTTTGGACATAGATATGCAGTTGCTAAGGTGTTCTGAGTGTGTTTTGCATGTTGCTATGTGGTTGCTAAGGTGTTCTGAGTATGTTTTTGCATGTTACTATGCAGTTGCTAAGGTGTTCTGATTATTTTTGGATGTACATATGCGGTTGCTAAGGTGTTTTGAGTGTTTTTGGATGTACATATGCGGTTGCTAAGGTGTTTAGAGTGTTTTTGGATGTACATATGCGGTTGCTAAGGTGTTCTGACTGTTTTTTTTAATGCTGCTATGTGGTTGCTAAGGTGTTCTGGGTGTTTTTGGACATAGATATGCGGTTGCTAAGGTGTTCTGAGTGTTTTTTGCACGTTGCTTCACGGTTTCTAAGGTGTTCAGGGTGTTTTAAGCATGTCACTCTGCGGTTGCTAAGGTGTTCTGGGTGGTTGCTAAGGTGCTCTGGGTGGCTGTCAAGAGTTCCTGAGGGGTTTTAGTAGAATAATGCAAACAGAGGAATATCACACTATTGGTTTGACTAACAAAAAGTGTAATGAATAAACTGTATAATTTTATAACATTCAAACACATGTGACGACTTACCCCAATCAGACATTTATAAAAAATAAAAAATAAATAAATAAATAAAAACCTCTTAAAAATACTGATTATATGTTTTATTGTGTTAGGGTTAGGGTCTCGGGCTCTCCTTTTGAACATGTCGTCAGTGAGTCTAGAGAAACACAAATAGCATTAGCAAACACATGATTTACAGAAATGAGACCGGGAGAGTCTCAATCACAATCTTCAATCAGTTTAAATGGTTAATTTTTCTTCTAGACGGTGAAATCAAACGGCTCAATTAGCGAAGCGGTTCATGTGGAGTTCAGGTCTGTCTCTCGGGCTCTTGAAGCTTGTTTAGGCCAGAGGCCAAATAACATCCGTAACGCCGGCGAACCCCAGAGGAGCGGAAATAAACCCGCTTCCCTCCGCCAGCAAATCATTAAAATCTTGATAAAACACACCTAATTGTGTGCTTTAATTCAAGGATGGTTTCCCACCGCTTTCATTTTACACCGTCTGATGTGTTCAGATATTTCAGAGAAACCAACTGAACGTGAAAAGCACAGCGGGTCAAGATGATGCTAACAACAGCGTCTGAGAACGATAGCCGGTTGATTAAAGAAAGAAACAAGGAAAAAAGCACTTTGAAAACCAATAAAGGATTGTCCTTCATCTCATAATGATGGTTACACAATGTCTGGTTGTATTGTTTGACTCAAGCAGCTCTATAACATCAAGAGAAACTCATCCGTTAGCGTGAAGTACACGATTGGAAATACGTCAGATTATGAGGTAAATGTTGATGTTAAACACGTTGGACGAGTCTGAGACAAACACGGCAGCGTTTCTTCTGCTAGCGAGCGCAGGTTCACGTTCATGGCTTCTGAGACAGAAACAGTCAAGAGTTTTATAAAAAGACTGTTATCGGTTTCAAGGGCTGCGTCTTTGTCAGTGGTCACCTTTGTTTCAGAACAAAGACGTGTTTGAAATCTTCTGCGTGCGTTATTAGCATTAGCGCTCCTTTGTAGCGCAGTGCCAAAACAAAGAAAGAGGAACCAATGTTTTCTTCTTGTTAATAGAGCATCTGGGCATTGAATTAAAGACGAAATGTGTTTTTAAGTGTGTACTGTAAAATAACTGTATTTTTATTTAATACTCTTTTTTTTAGTTTCAAATATAATAGTATTATATGTACTTAAAAGTTCTGCAGCGGTTTCAGATATTGGTTTAACAGTTTTTTATTGATTTTAACTCAAGTCTAAAATAATTTTATATATGTGTAAATTATAATTATTATTAAAAAAATTTTCTATTGATTTCGTTCAATCATACTGTTTTTTGTATCCATAAAAATTATATGAAAAGTTATATTATATTAAACCACATTTTCTAATATAATTTGAGAATGAACGTTTTTATTTTAAAATAATTTTATTAAAAAAATATCTTTAAGTTTGAAATAATTGTACATTTTATTTTTTTAAATTTACATACATAAAAATATTTATTAAACAAATTATTAATATTTTTTCTTAAAAATTTATACAATTATTTAAGTACACAACAGAATCATCCAAAAATAGACCATATCACGTTATTATATCATGTGAAATATCTAAAATGTTGAATTTCCAGCAAAAATTACTATATTGTGAAATACACTCTTATGAAATAGAATAACTCACCTTCATATTTAGTGTATTCAGGGCAGAAGTAAATCAGCAACAGCCTGCAAACATAAACATACAACAGAAAAATCATTAAAAATTGCTTTTTGGCTGGTTTGAGAGAGACACTGGACTCAACGACCATCCAACATCCTTTTAATTGCATTTGATTGGGTTTGTGATTACTCAGCGTGTTTTACCCACCTGATCTGACCAATTAGGATCCATCTGTGCGGATTGAAATCACAAGGACCTGAGAGAAAACACCGCAAGGTCACGTTCAGTGCAACACTAAATTTGATTCTCCTCCTTTGATGCTTTTGTGTAGCTGGCTTCACAATGAAGCTACTTTTTTTGCACTTCACACCTCTCAAAATGAAAAAGAAGAGCATTTGAGAATAAATTGCTCTCTTTGTCGGCGCTTTATTGTGGTTTCTGTGTTTTGTGCCGCTCATAATTGTGTTTTTCTTTGCTTTGGGCCTCAGAAAGCAGAGCGGCACTCCAGATTCGCCTCGGTTTAATTCAACAGTTTGCAATATAACACGACGCAGGCGAGATTTTGTCTCCATAAAAGACGTGATTTTACACCGGAGAGTTGCGTTATTGAAATAGATAACAATAAAATTACAGTGCAAATATAATTCTGCTCAGTTTAGCGTCAGCATTGGCAGATGTGCTACGGCGCAGATGTGCGGCGGTCGTGTCAATAAAACTCTGTGCTCACTGGAACGACTCCCACAGCGACGTTAATTATTCCTCACTTCAATATCTCTGGGAAAAAAAGCAAGAGAATAAAAGTTTTAATTAAAATCTCTCTCACTCGCCCATTAGCATCACCTCCCTGCTGACAAAAAACAGCTAAAGGTGGTTAGCGGCTGGCCTAGCTGATCTGTTTTCATCATTTAAGAGACATTTCAGCGGCTGGTTGAGCTGGAGAACAACTAACCAGCTAAACTCCAGCTGAGCCAAACTAGATAAAACCAGCTAAAACTAGCGAAACACCTTTTCAGCAGGGAATTCATGCGGTCTAACTCAAAATCTGTCAAAACTACATTTCCCCTGCGGCATAAACATAAACCAACTTATGAACTGTATTACAAACATTACAAGTGCTTTAAACAGCTCAAAAAGTATATTAATATTTTTGACACGTATATACATATACATAATAACCATGCTTTATATATTTAATTTAATATATGAAATTAATTCATGTTTTATGTTATATGTAACAATTTTTTTTATGTTAATGTTATATTTTTGCTTTATGAAATTAATATATATATATATATATAATATATGTTTTTTATAAAACAACAAAATGTAATAATTATAAAATAAATGTATATAAAAACTATGTTTTTATTCTAACTATATTAACATGAATTGTTATAGTTAATACATTTTGTTGTTTTATGAAATCATGTATAAATATAAAGACATTAAAAAAATACACATTTCACTTTTAAGTAAACATTAGCGTATTATGTTGTTGAAGCTAGTGTGAAACTTTAGTTAAGAGAACAAAATGCTGGATGCAGCTTTCATAACTCAAGTTCTTCTCCTGCTCTGTGAAAGCGCGCGAGTTTTTAAACTGCCTCCATTCGGCGAACGCTTCCGGCTGAGTAACGGCTGTAACGGCTGAACGCTCCTCTCCTCTTCCCCAGTCATCGCCTTCAGTCCCGTCACAACACCTTTCCAGGCCCACACACACACACACACACACACATTTTAATATTATAAAATATTTTAAATTATTATTTTACAATATCCTTTTTGATCATTTTATTGTTGTTATAATAAATATAATTATTTTATAATTCTTTATGTATAAGCTGACTATATAAAATTCTAACATTATTTTAAATAATTAATTTAATTATTTTACAAATTGTATGTTTATTTGTTTGTAAATGTATATATTTTGATATCAATGTTAAATTTGTTTTATGAAATTATAAAAAAAATCCTTAATTTATTGGTTTAATATATATATATATATATA